GTTTGAACTTGGTGATAAAACAAGAGAGAAAAGTGTGAAAATGTTAATGCCTGTCTGAAAAAAAGTGTATAAAGTGTGTAGTGAGGCGTTTTACAGCCTTAAAACATCTAGAATTGTAAAAAAAATAAAGCTTAATACTTTGCAGATTTCGTCTATTGCAGGTTATTTTTGGAACGTAACTCCCGCGAATAACGAGGGATCACTGTATATCAAATAATAAATTAAAATGCATTTTCAATTGAGAAATCAAATGCTCCACTGTATTTAATATTTAATTTTTATGATCAACTCAGTATAAACCTGTAATATCTAAATAATAAATCAAATGCTTAAACCAGCAACCCAAACGGAAACCGATTGAGAAATCAAATGCAATTAAGGAGTGCCAATCTAAATGAGGAGTGCCAGTTTATATATATAAAACATGCACAAAAGCCTTACAAATATACTTTGCTAAATACAAATTAAACAGATTTTATTATGAATTTCAGGAAATAATCCCTTTAAGAGTTTCATGTTAATGTTACTTTCACCGTCTCATTAAGGGAAACTCCTGAGATAATTAACATATATCTCTGAACTTTAGTAATAAATAAATATAAAATGCTGTGCTAATGTGGTTGCAGTGTATGAATGTGTGAATTGAACAAACTAATTTGGCCGTAGTGTATGAGTTTGTGTGAATAAGATAGAATGTATGGGTGTTTCCCAGTACTGGGTTGCAGCTGGAAGAACATCCGCTGCTTTATTTCACTGTACACTTTGGAATTGTAGATAGAAATCATCTTTATGTTGAATAAAACTGTTTCTGCTTTTTCTGCAGGTGTATTCGGTGCTGATGCTGAGATGAAGGCAGTATCAGTGATGGAGGGAGATTCTGTCACTTTAAACCCTGATCAGGAATTACAGGGGATTGTTCTGCTACTTTGGAAGTTTGGAGACAACGGTTCCACCATTGCTCACATCAGTGGAAATAAGACCTCATATCCTACTAAGCAGAAGATATTTACAGACAGACTGATGCTGAAAGAGACTGGATCTCTTACCATCAACAACATGAGACACAATCACTCTGGACGTTATAAACTAGAGGTAGACCACAGTGGAGGGAGATTAGAATCAAGCTTCTTTGTTACTGTAGATGGTGAGCAAACATTGATTCGCAAAATCAAGCCATTTTAATTATTTATTATTTAATAACTAGTTTTAGAAACGGGTTCCTCAAATTCTTCAAGTTATAGGTTTACTCAATTTTCTACTCTTTAAAATTGTATCTATTTATTAGCCATTCTAAATTTTAACTGAGTTTGAAAACGACTCTTAATTTAATTATTTAAGGATATTTGTGCAGACTTAATATAATGTGTCTCTTTAACTAAGCTCTAGCAAGAATATTAATTCAGCCTATTCATTTTTGCGTTTGCGGCAAAAATAATTATAAATAATTGGCATAGTAACCATAATATAAACCAATTTTTGTAAAATTAAATATTTTGTGTGAATGTTTCTTTTGCAGAGCCTCCACTTGTTTTTGAAGCTTATCAAGCTGAAAGAAAAAGCTTGACAGTGACAGAGGGATATCCAGTCATTCTTCACACTGGTATTACTAAACTACACGGAGATGAGCTGATAGTGTGGAGGTTTGGTGTTGAAGGAAAACTCCTGGCTAAAGAAGATAAAGAGATCAAGAGTCCACCATATTATGATACTGATGAGAGATTCAAAGGCAGACTAAAGCTAAATGACCAGACTGGATCTCTGACCATCAACAACATGAAAGACACAGATGCTGGACTTTATACAGTGAAGATCAACAACAACAAACTGACAACATACAGAGATTTCACTGTTACTGTCAGTGGTGAGTAATGTCATGGTCTGTAAATAACTCAGATGATCTGATGTAAAATTTTATCATGAGGAATCAACTGTTCTTTTTTTATATAAATAAATGCAATGTTGTGGATCAGCGTGTTCATAATGTCTGTCTTTATCTTTACAGGTTCAGGTCTGACTTCAGCTGCTGTAGCAGGAATTATTATTGGTCTGCTGATGCTGTTTGCTGTTGTAGCTGGATCGGGTTTTCTTTACCATCGCCGCATGATTGCTGAACAACAGAAACACATGGGTAAGTATTATAGATGCAGCAAGAAAAAAAAAAAAAAACGCTGGGTTTTATTTGTGACTAGTTTGATTTTAAAAGTATATGATTATTTTTTTCATCAGTATTTGATTGTGGCATGATTTATTGATTCAGTTTAATCATTCTATTTATATAATTATTTATTAGAGAGAGAATGGCATGACGTTTAAATAATTTACCTATTATTTCCTTTAGATAAAATACAATTAGGGTACATGTACACTGCAGATCTTGATGCTCAATTCCGATTTTGTGACTGTATCCAATTTTTTTGATGACCTACTTACATCATCTTTTAAAAGTGACTCGTATCCGATCATCTGCATTTACAAACGGCAAAGGTGCAATGACCAGGAAAAAGAAGAGTGGGCGTTGACTGACTAATTAAAGAGTGCTCTTTTCTCTATTCCTGTATGCAATCTGTTCGCATCTTTTAATAAGCTGTTTTACTTTAGTTTATGACAGAAAGGTTCTCATTTGTCCATCTTCTTTAGATAAATAGGCTTTTTTAAACCTTTAGGCATCTTAATGTAATGTCCATGGCGTGATTTATGCACGTGATGTAGCTATGCACTAGTTTTATATTAGTTTGTATTGGTTACGTGGCGGACATAACATGTTCTTGCTCTGGTTAACATGCTTAAATACCTGTGTTATATAACAATATAAAAGCTGTTTGAGTCCTCGTGTATGAGATTTAAGGTTTGGGACTCTGGTGAGGTCTGCTTTGAAATAAAGTGTCAGACCTGACATCATCCGCTATGGTTTTTAATGACGCGCGACTCGCATTGACAGGTGAAAACCCAATCTATCTGCTTACACTGCAGACACGAGAACACAGATCCGAATCTTATCGGATAAATTTCCACATATGAATAAGGCCTGATTCTGATTTGAGTAAATCGGAATCCATGTGATTTGTTCCTGCTTACACGTACATGAGCCATATCCGATCTGTGTCACATGGGAGAAAAAAAGTCGGAATTGAGTCCCTTGAACAGCGCAGTGTAAATGCGGCCTTATTGTAGTTCACTAATGCAACTGGATACATTTAATTTTAGTGTTGTGTAAATAAGGTATTTAAAAAGAGCTTTTCTCTGTTGCTTTTAATCCTGATTTTTGTCAAATATGTGGAATTAACAGCTTTTTAAACTAATGTGCAAAAAACAGCTTTAACATAAATGTGAGAAGTTTTATTATTAATTTACGAGATGTCTTTTGCTGATGTTATTGCATGCATTATTGTAAATTGCTGCAGATGGTTTATAAAGTCATTCAAATAATGAAAAGTTTATTAACATGTAACAATGACATAAAATGTTGCAGTTCTTTCTTGCTGACAGTTTCTGTCTCTTCATGTCCAGTGAAGTTTTACTGACTCATTACAATCTATTTTCTCTCTTTTCATGTGCTTCTGTGTCCCGTGAAGTAAAAAAAATACATACAGCAGAGAGAGAAAATGTGACTTTAAAGACTAAAACTAAACTACTTGAAGGTGATGAGATCCAGTGGTGGTTTAGCAATGAAAACTTCCTAATAGCTGAAATAATTGAAGGGATTGGAGAGACATATGATGGTCTTGATGGGAGATTCAGTGACATCCTGGAGCTGGACAAGAAGACTGGGTCTCTGAACATCAAGAACATCAGACGTAAACACACTGGTGATTATAGGTTAAAGATAATCAAGCGGAGCAGAGAAACCTCAAATTTTAATTTCAGTGTTTATATTAAAGGTGAGTATCTGCAGTCTTTTGGCAGTGATCATCACTGTTCTTCCACATGTATTTTTATTTTTTAACCTTTTCTTCTGTGGTTTAATTATCTAAAACTCGTGTCACTGCAGTATTTAGTGCTTATGAATAATCATGATCTAGCTAGCCGTTTCTGCACATGATAAAAATGTCAGTTCTGGATGTTGCCTCAAGCAGTATTTATTGCTAATATTTTTATTTATAGCAGATCTTGTACTGTAAGTTTTTATCTCAGTCGAAACACAGAAAACTGTCTGCTTGAGCTAATGCCATCCTTTTCTTTCTGTTTTCTGTGCTGCTGTCACACACGAAGAGGAGAAAATGATAGTGAGTTGTGGAGAATCTGTCACTCTTAAGGCTGATGCTGAAATACAGAGAGAGGATGAGGTACAGTGGCTGTTTCATATTGAAAATGATCTGATTGCTAAAATGACCGGCAACACCAGAGAGATAACATATCCTGATGAGAGATTCAGAGACACACTGAAGATGGACGAGAAGACTGGATCTCTGACCATCAATAACATTGGAGATGAACATACTGGACTTTATAAAGTGAAGGTCATCAGCAGAGGAGAAGCCACGTACAAGACATTCACTGTTTACATTAACGGTGAGGATCTCACGTCTTTCAGTGCAGTGATCATCTCAGTGTTTCCTCATGAAACATTTTTTTTCAGTGATTTAATGGTCTCAAACTCTAGGATATAAAGATGTATTCTGTCACTGCAGTATTTAGCATTTGTATATAATCCTGATCTCATGGTTTTTACACCTGTTAAAATACTTCAGATTCAGTTTCAGTTCTGGATTTTGTTTCCTCCAGCAGAATTTATATTCTGTTGTATTGATCAGAGGCCTATACCGTAAAGGCAGGTTAGCTGGCTAGCAAGTTAAATTTAAGTTTGGTTTGCACCAAATCTGGGTTTAAGTACCATGAAGGTAGATCAGCTTAGATCGCTCTTTGTTGTCATGTTATCTTGCACTACATGGTTAACCTTCTCTGGGGCAGGATATGTTATGGTTTAGAAATTGTAAGCAATCAACTGTGACACATCTATGATGCAATGAAGCCACTCCTCCTAATCCTCTTGCTGCAAATTAAAGGTCACTTTAAAATATTAAATCAGATGATTTTAATGAGGTTTTTTATTCATTATAATTATTTTTAGATAATGTATAATTATTCTATTTGTAATGCAGTAGACATTTGCAATTGTAGTTTATTATTTTTATATTATTTACTTTTTTTTTTTTTTATATATGTAGTCTCTGAATACCTATACAGTACACATAATCAGCTATATACCTTTTTCTTCGTTGCTGTATGGAGGGTGCCATAGTGACCAGCGTCTTCCGGTAGGATGCTTAGAACTTCAGTTTACATTTGTTATAATTTAATATTAATATTATGGTTCTTCAGAGTTCAGTGTGTTCAAACGTGTTATTTTGGCGGCGTTTACACAGCTCGCTGTTTTTGGGGCGTGTTGCTTCACATGAAAATTAGTTTTAAATTCCCGCCGAACGTAACAAGGGGGCGGAGCCAAGAGCTCGCCCGATAGGCAGACAGAGAGAAGCAACCTGAGTGAGAGGATGAGCATTCAGCTGTACATGTTCGACTCAGACTAGAGATGCGCGGATGGGCTATTATTTCATCCGCAACCGCATGACAAAATTAATCATCCGTCCGCCATCCATCCGCAGTAACATTTTTGACCAATTTTTAAAACCGCACCCGCCCGCCATCTGCTGATTGGGCTCTTTATTTGAATGGCTTATTCCTTTTTTTTATTAAATGAATGTTTCTTTATTGATCATTATATAATAGAGAATGACTTTAATGTAGACATGCAGTTAATCCAAACGTGTAAGTCATTAATTGACGACGCTTTGAAGTGACGCTAAAGATACGAGGACGTGTCTTTTCACTTGATTCGATTCCTCGGTCCTTCAGTCTCCTCCTTGCGTCCTTCCCTCGTATCCCGGTGGGGTGGAAACACGAGGAAAGAAAGCAAGGAAAGGAAACGAGGATGCACAAATAAGAAATGAGAAGCGCCCGAGCTCTCAGAATATCAGCAGTGAACTCCGTCTCCAATCGGCGCACAGGGACAAAAATAAATAAATAGCCTAAATTAAACGCACTGTACTATATAACTTTTTTTATTGTAGCCTAATAGAAAACGCATTGACACATCATTTCAACATGCTGCTATTTAGCCTACTACTAAATGCCTATTTCACTTAATTTTTTAGTAAATAGATAGAATAAGTCATTTACATTAATGTTTACATTTGTAGTTGTCCATAGCAACCCCAAAAACGTATACCTGCTTGCCTTGCACATCTAATTAATGGGCACAGTTTTTCGACTATTTTTTATTTTTTGCTGTGGATGTTATTGAGCTTGTAGAAATCGGAAACAACACAGTTCTGCGACACAGATTAACCTTTATTGATATCTCTATGAGACAATACCTATTTTATATGCCAAAAGAAACAACAGGCAGTAAAAAAAAAAAAATTAACATAAATATCTTAATGTAGGCATAGGCAATTGTCGCATGCTTTGGCAAACAGTTGAAACATTTTTTAATAAAAACGTCATATCGTGCCTAAGCCTTGTAGGCTCAGTCACCCCCACAATTAGAAATTAAATTAGAAAAATAGATATGCCATCCCTCTTTGAGCGAACCTGACCAGGCTAAAGTGCATGTATGACAAGTGCCCCAATAACCCATGGACTTAGGATCATCCCCATTCCCCTCAAACTTGAAGCATAACGAAATACTACGCCATTAAATTTGCGACAAAGAAATTCTGGCAAAATAGCCTCGGAACGTAAAAGCGAGGCCAACATGTCTAGAATAGAATAGGCTAAACCAATATGAACGTAAAATTATCAGCTGACCGAACTCAAAAGTTTATATTGAACATATGTGTAGCCTAAATAACATAGGCTAATTGGTTTAATATGCCTGACCTTAGGTCTAGTTTGATTTTTTCTTGGCACAATGCAGGAATAAAATAGCATCTACAGTGTCAGGATTCAGACGGGCGCCTGCATAGCCACTATAATGCGCCCTGCTGCACTGAAGGAGCGCTCGCTCGCAGCACTTGTTGCTGAAATGCATAGAATTCTCTTGGAAAGGTGCTGTAGTCATGGGAATGCCTGGTCTTATTTCTCCCAAAAGGAAAGTAGATTTTCCTCTGCTGATCCGTCTATACGGAAGTTTGTAGAGGAATACTTCTGTACACTTCATCCAGAATTAATGTATCCGATTCCTCCTCCCATTCTGTGAAGTCAGTCCTAGGCTTTTTCGTTGGTGCGCCAGCTATGAATATAAAAACAGTACAACCGCCCGCCACCCGCCCGAATTTAATTAAAATATTATTTTTTCGTAACGTCATCAGCCCGATCCGCGGTTTATCCGCGGAGTCCGCGGCTATAACCGCCAACCGCGCATCTCTAACTCAGACACAGACCAAGCAGAGAGTACACAATCATTTGTGTCTTTGTCTAGTTTTACAGCCAACTGTGTGGTAGTTTAAAGTGCCGAGCTTGTACACCGAGACTAATACTCACGCACACTGGATTAACTTTGACTGAGGCATCGGAGCCTCGACACGGCACACTCAGACACTCACATTTGCATGTTATTTAAAATGAAACTATTCAGATGTCGCTCTGTGGCGGGGCAGAAACATGAAGTTTCCCGAATTGTGGCTGGGCACTGCGGACAGCCACCGACATGAAGCGCCGGTGTGTGTACCCTGACAGAAACCTATGTTTGGAATTCTAAAATGCATGGCGCTGCGTGGCGCGACGGTGCTTCTGGTGTGCGACCTGCAGGCAAGTTCGTTATTTTATTTCTACTGGAGAGATGGGCACACGAGGCAGCGCATTTTCACTTTTCCAGCTGCACCTAGTTAAGATCACAGGGAGCTTCTGTGAACGTGAGAAATGTGAACGGCTAAAGTTTAAGGTAGATGCAATGAAAAGTACACGTGTTTGCAAACCTACCAAAAGGTACAAACAATAATTCTGATTAGAGCGATCATGTGGAGATTATTGATCTTTTGTTGAGTCCAATGAGCCTTACATCAAAAAATAGAGCAAGGGTGTTCCTTTAGTGACATTGCTTTGACTCACTCTGAAAATGACGGACTTGAATCAACAAACTTGGTGACGTGCCTGTCAATCAATATTGAGCGTGGGGACCGCACTCCTACGTCAAGTTGCAGTCGATCTAATCACTGATCCAATTGGTCCACCGTTTTTATGTTGTTAAATAAAAAAAAATTGACTGAGTGTGTTTATGTCAGCCCAATATGACAGTCTGCACACTGTACGCTGTCCAAACAGCTTGAAAAGTAGATTTTTTACCATAGGTGAAAGCAAGTAAAGTAGATTAAAACGTTTAAAACGTTAGTCGTTTACTGCTGTCTAAATGTGACTCTTTATACACATCAAGCTGCTGACCGGAAGTTTGAAGCATCCTCCTTAGACATACACACAAAGCATCATGGATAATTTTGCATTCTATAAAAAAGGTCTATACTTTTTTACATTAAGGATGTCAAACTCAATTCCTGAAGGGCCGCAGCCCCGCACAGTTTAGTTCCAACCCTAATTAAGCAAACCTGATCAAACTAATTGAGTCCTTCAGGCTTGTTTGAAACCTACAGGTAAGTGCTGGAACAGGGTTGGAACAAAACTGTGCAGACTTGCGGCCCTCCAGGAATTGAGTTTGACATCCCTGCTTTACATCTTCACTTACACATATAAAGCAAGCTGTTTCCTTTTAGCTCTCCTCTTTTCATCAGCAGCTCTTTTTATAATGCTGTATAAATTAAGAGTATAAATTCTTATTTTTAATCCTATTATCTTTGCCTGTGAATGGTGCTTGCTCTCTTGCTAGTTGTCAATTACATTTTTACATGCAATGTGAAGCTTTTACAAGTTGTGAAGCTAAATCTGTTATTCAGTCACCATAGGCATCTGCTATCTGAAAAAAAAACTTATTGACATGTAGATCTGTAAATGTTTGTTTCCTCTCAGTCAAACCTTTGAAAACTGTTTACTTACTCTAATGGCAACCATTTCTTTCTGTTTTTTTTGCAGCTCTCATAAATGAAAAGTTCATTTTTGACGGAAGGATAGGAGAATCTGTCACACTAAAACCTTATATTAAAATACAGAGAAATAATGAAATACAGTGGATGATTGGAGATCAAGACTGTCTAATTGCTAAAATGACCAGAGGAGCTAGAAAGATAACATACCACGAGAGATTTAGAGACAGACTAATGCTGAATGAGAAGACTGGATCTCTGACCATCAACAACATCACTATTGAAGACAACAGAGATTATAAACTGAAGATCATCAGCAGCAGTGGAACCACTGTAAAGAAATTCAGTGTTTTTATCAAAGGTGAGTCATTTGTGCTTTAAAAAACAGATTTGCACTGAATTTTAAGAGTTAATATAGTGTGTTAATGTAATGTCATTCATTTTGTGTTTTCTTTGCTCCAGTCATGATTAGAGTGAATAATTGACCATGCAGATTAAAGGGATACAGTAGTTCACCCAAAAGAGTTTCTTCCTTCTGTTCAACACAATTGAAGATATTTTGAAGCTGGTATTCATTGACTTCCATATTGTTTTTCCTACTATGAAAGTCAATGCTTATACAATGTTTTCTTCAAAATATCTTGTTTTGTGTTTAACAGAAGAAAGAAACTCATAAAAGTTTGGAACTACTCGAAGGAGAGTAAATAGTGAGTAAATGTTCATTTGTGGGTGAACTATGCCTTTAAGTAAGGGATAAAGCACATCCAGTTATCTGCTTTTATGTTAAAATATTGTTTTTGTCCATATTGTATAGTTATTAACATGTTTTATTTGCATCTACAGTTTGTTCGTATTCTTACATATGCAGAATATTTCTGCCTCATTGTATCCCATAATATTTTACTGAATCTCTCCGTATAGTGTTTTTTTTTTTTTATTCTGTGATATGCAGGGGAGCCAAGTTTTTTCTGTGTGGGACATACAGCTGTTCTACAGTGTGCTGCAGAGATACAGACTGATGAGATCGAATGGAGGTTTAAAGGTGAGGAGTCTCCCATAGCTGAAGTGAAAGGTGGACAGATCGTTCCATATAATGGTCCTAATAGGAGATTCAGAGACAGACTGGAGGTTGATAAAAGTAATGGATCACTGATCATCAAGAACATCAGACGTGAGCATGAGGGGCTTTATAAGCTAAAGAGAAAGAGTTCCGGCACAGGAGACCGTGTCAATGCATTCACTGTTACGCTCTGTGGTGAGTATTCTAAATCATTAAGTGTTATGAAGTCTTCCTCATACATTGCTTTTCTACTGCTGGTAGTTCAGCTCGAAGTGTACAGACTCCAGTGAGATTGAATCAGTTCAGATGAAAGATTAAAGAATAAAGATCTCTTATTAAACCACATCATTAATATTTTCATATTCCAGTCATATTCAAACACTGCAGACACAATTAGTTGTGAAACTGGACAATATTGTAAGTAGACTTAACCATAATCATTAGGGGCCTCATGTATCAACGCTGCGTACGCACAAAAACTTTGCGTACGCCAGGTTTCACGCTCAGAATCGCTCACGTTTGGATTTACTAACAATGAACTGAACGTGGGAATGTGCGCAGCTTCACGGCAGCTTTATGGCAGGCGTACGCACATTTCTTGTGCGTGTCTGTTTTATTTCCATTGGCGACTCCTAGAGGCAGTTGTGTTAAATTGCTCTCTACAAAGTGTCTGAGCCTTGCAATGGCAGCTGTATGAGACGGGTTCAGCAGGTAAATAAGGTTTCCATACCATACAGTTGACCAGCCAAACATTAAAGTTCAATTTGCAGCAGTCGCCTGTTTTCCCAATGTAATCTGAGCTATCTACCACACGCACATTGCTATAAAGACACTCTGAAGATAAATTTGCATGCGTGAATCAGAAACATTTCCATTCAATAAATGTGCAAATAAAATATGATGCTTATTGATATGAACTTATTGACGATTCCTACTTGTCTTTCTCGTGATGAATAGTTGGCAAAATCTGATATGTAGCGGGGGAAAAAAGAAGAAAGAGTTCATCAGACGCTGGATTCGAGCCGAATTCATGCTCGAACGTGTCAATACATGGTCACATGTGTCTTACGAGTAGCGCCACTGAGACCGTTAAGATCGCTGCAACATTTTACAGATATAAACCACACTATTTCTTTTTTTTTAATGCACTCAGTGCGATGTTCAGACCCAACTGTGTTAACCGGATCAGCTAAACTCTCCCACTCTATTTTTTTCTTTTGTTGTTAATTCCGGAGAACAAACTTGCAAATAACACCGCTTTTCTCCGGTCTACCTCCGAAAGCAGCACCTCCAATTCACATTCTGTTCAAAGTTTCTCTTTTTGCTTGAATTTGCCGTTGCTTTTTCGTTGGGTTTTGCCATTAGCATAGTCATTAGCATATTCATACGGGGGAGGAGGCAGGGAGGGGTTTTGTGCTCGTGCATGTTGCGCTCAGTTTCACGTTCATTCAGATGTACAAAAGAATATGCGTGAGATTCGGCGTACGCAGTGTTTCATACATCTGAAATTTTTTCTGCGTACGCAGTGTTTTAGTATGATTTCCACGCAAGTCTTCGTACATGAGGCCCCAGGTCTTTCTGAAACTGAAAAGCTTTTTTTGTGTATGTTACAAAATGAGTTCATCGTATCTTCAACCTTAACCTTGTGCAGACTACTTAAAGGTGCAGTAGGTGATGTGCCAAATTGCTAACCGCTTAGCATATTATCTTTGGACAGTGGGGAGGGACTGTGATTCAAAGACATACCCCCTGAAATCGCGAGCGCGCGCACTGCGTCACAACAGCCGACAGACAACCCACCAGTTCATGTCATTCGCCAGTTAGTGCCAGCACCGTGCAGGAATTACATTAATTACTCCGCCACACTTACATGCTATTTCAGAGTGAATATTCAGAGTAGCATGGTAAACAGTATAGGAAGACTGTCATTGTTCAAAAATGACCCAATGTGAATATAAAAGCAACTTCAGCTCAATAAAGCAGGTTAGGTGGAATAGCGCTATTTACTGGTGTTTTGTTGTTAAACTAAGTATAAATCTACATTATAGATGCTGTCAAAGAACCTTATGAAACTGAAAATAATCGCATCAATTTTTCACCAGGATATTTCAGTGGCTGAACATCACGTCTGTGCATAAGTCATTCATAACTAGTGTTGGGGTACTCGAACTTGGACTCGGACTTGTCACGGACTTGGGGAAACTTTTAATCAGACTTGACTCGGACTTGGACATTTTGGACTCGGAAAATATCACGAGTCCAGTCGAGTCCACATCATTCACAACACAAATAAAGATATTAAAAATTAATAAGTAACAGCATGAAACTATAACAAGAATTTAGCGATCTCTCTGGCTGCATGCCAGCTTTTATTTACGGCACCGCACCGTACCAGCAGGCAGCAGCAGCAGCACGTCATCACCTTAAACGTGTAACCAGAAATAGCCATATATCACACAATGCGTGGCTAGGTTTAGGACAATAATGTCTTTAAAATCAGCAATAATTTGTCTTCTACTGACATGTTAAAAGAAAACAAAGAAAGGTAAGAGCTTATTTAATTAAATTGGACACTCATATCGTAGGGATGATGTTAAAACATACTGGCGATATTGTTTTGTTGTTTATATTGGTGTCAATATATCCGCAAATAACTGTCAGATTCAAAGTTTTGCGCTTTGGCTCTGAGCCAGAGAAATATGCGTTCCGCGCTTGATTTAGGCCAGGGCTTCTCAAATCCGGACTTCGTAATATTCAAAGTTTTCCTGTGTGACTCTTGTAAAGACTTCCCAATATCATCCCGATTCATTTTCCAATACTTCCCCCTTATGCTTATTCTTTCTATGAAAAGTGAAAGCACTGTCAACACAGCGATCTTAAATGCGATAGAACTGCAAGAGCTGTTCAAGATAATTGTGCTTTCGCTTCATTTTGGCTTGAAAGCACGTTAAAATTCATATAAAAATGTCTGCATTCACTTACATTAAAGATGTGCGTCGATCATCACATTTCTGAATCAGTGTAGCCTTTACATGCTGACTGACGGACGCGTTCCATATAAACTCATCCCAGATCCCAAATCAGCTTCTGCTTTTGAGGGTAGGGTTAGGAGAGTATAATGAGTATGTAAAATTACAGTAATTAAATGATGGAATAGCAAAAATGTTGTAATAATGTTGCTTGGAGTTGCATATTATATTAAGTCAATATAAGCACAAATGAATTTAATGTAGAGTTATATTCAAATCCAGACAACATTCAGAATGGATAATCAGTGGACTAAGTCCACAAATTCAAGCAATAATTTAATCTTTTTAAAGATAGAATGAGGTTTGACTTTGAATTTGTGTAAAAATTAATATTCAGGTAATATTTTTATTAGAGACATTGGAGAAATTAGGGGGTGCCTGTGTCCACAATGTGAGTCTTCTGTGTGAGAATAAACATTACTAATTGTGAGCAGCAGTATATTCTCTACATGTTGAATATGCAAGAGAGAATCTGATAATGAGACATTTCTGATTCTATTTATATGTAGTCAATGACAGAGTGCAAGAATATGTGTATTGCACAATTAATCATCTCAATTGTTTCATTTTAAAATGATTCAGAATTATGTATAGTTGTATGCTGATGTCATCATCACTGTCTTTTGAACTGAGGACCAGGACCATGACCTATCCTCAAAAGCCCCCCACCCTCCGCATATATATATATATATATATATATATATATATATATATATATATATATAAATTATTATTATGATTATTATTATTATACAAATAATATTCTAAATAAATAACAGAAATTTGTCCTAAATGTAACTGGAACACAAAGACACAACTGGAGTGATGTATTAAGATCATTTAAGAAGTCTTTTGCAAGAATATTAATTTAATTTGACAATTCCATAAGATACAAAAAGATATACTTTAAAGAATTATCTGTGGGCTGCACGGTAGCGCAGTAAGTAGCACTGTCGCCTTACAGCAAGAAGGTCGCTGGTTCGAGCTACGGCTGGGTCAGTTGATGTTTCTGTGTGGAGTTTGCATGTTCTTACCGTGTTGGCGTGGGTTTTCTCCGGGAGCTCCGGTTTCCCCCACAGTCCAAAAACTATAGGTGAATTGATTAATTAAATTGGCCATAGCATATGAAGGGAAGGGCATCCGCTGTGTAAAACATGCTGGATAAGTTGGCGGTTCATTCCGCTGTGGCGACCCCTGATTAATAAAGGGACTAAGTCGTAAAGAAAATAAATGAATGAATGAGAATTATCTGTTGTCTTTTTAGACCTTAATTGTGAACTGTTTTATGCCTAATCTTACCTCCCTGACTCTTCATCCTTTTTTCTGCTTCATAGCATGTTTAGTTAAAATAAGATCATCATCATATTGTTTTAATTTTTGTTTTGTCCAGTTGCAAAACTTTCACAGGTTTCACAATGCATAATCGCTGCTTATTTTTTTGAGGTGTCCCAGAGTTGCAAAAACTTCTAAGTATTTTGAATGTACACTTGCTTTATTAAAATGAAAATGTCCAAGGCAAGGCAAGGCAAGTTTATTTATATAGCACATTTCATACACAGTGGCAATTCAAAGTGCTTTACATAAACAAGAATAAAAGAAACAAGTAAAATAAAAATAAAAACAAATAATAAAAATGCGTAAAAACAAAACAAAACATAAAAACAGGTAAAATGTGATATAAAAGAATGAAGAAGAGAAAAACATGATAGTGCAATCTGTCGGACGCAGCACAGTGCGCATTCAGTAAAGGCACAGCTAAACAGATGTGTTTTCAGTCTTGATTTGAATGTGCCTAATGTTGGAGCACATCTGATCATTTCTGGAAGCTGATTCCAGCAGCGAGGGGCGTAGTGGCTGAAGGCAGATTCACCCTGCTTTGACTGAACTCTTGGAACTTCTAGTTTATATGATCCTAAAGATCTGAGTGATCTGTTAGGTTTGTATTCAGTGAGCATATCTGTGATGTATTTAGGTCCTAGGCCATTTAGTGATTTATAGACCAGTAATAATACTTTAAAATCTATTCTGAATGTAACTGGGAGCCAGTGTAAAGACCTGAGGACAGGTGTGATGTGCTCTGATTTCCTGCTTCTGGTTAGAATTCTGGCTGCAGCGTTCTGGATGAGCTGTAACTGTCTGACTGTCTTTTTAGGAAGACCAGTGAGGAGTCCATTACAGTAATCCACCCTGCTGCTGATAAAAGCATGAACAAGTTTTTGTAAATCTTCACTAGAAACAAAGCATCTGATTCTTGCTATGTTTTTGAGATGACAGTATGCTGATTTACTGACTGCTTTGACATGACTGTTGAAACTCAGATCTGACTCAAGAGTCACACCCAGATTCTTGACCTTATTTTTGGTCGTTTGACCTTTAGTGCCAAGGTACGCATTTACCGCGAGAACCTCATCTCTGTTTCCAAACACAATCATTTCAGTTTTCTCTTTGTTTAACTGAAGAAAGTTTTGGCACATCCAATTGTTAATTTCATCAATGCATTGGCAGAGGGTGTCAATGGGGCTGTAGTCATTAGGCAGTAAGGCTAGGTAGATCTGAGTGTCATCAGCATAGCTGTGGTAGGAGATTTGGTTCTTTCTCATTATTTGGCTCAGAGGGAGCATGTAAAGGTTGAACAGGAGAGGTGCCAGAATCGAGCCTTGTGGGACTCCACACGTCATGGGTGTCCACCTCGACCTATGATCACCTAAACTGACATAATAACCTCTACCTTCAAGGTAAGATCTAAACCATTTGAGGACCGTGCCAGACAGCCCAACCCAGTTTTCCAGCCTATCCAGAAGTATGCTGTGATCGACAGTGTCAAATGCAGCACTGAGATCCAACAATACCAGCACTGTTATTTTACCTGAATCTGTATTTAGGCGGATATCATTGATTATCTTTATAAGAGCGCTCTCTGTACTGTGATGTGCTCTGAAACCAGATTGAAAATTGTCTAAACACCCCCTGAAGTTTAAGAACTTGTTAACCTGGTTAAAAACAACTTTTTCAATGATTTTGCCAATGAAAGGGAGATTTGAGATTGGCCTGTAATTGCTCAATAGGGTGTTATCCAGGTTGCTCTTCTTCAAGAGGGGTTTAACAACTGCAGTTTTAAGTGAGGTTGGAAAAATCCCTGATAGAAGTGAAGCATTTACCACTTTTAGAAGATCCATTTCTAAATTGGTTAGGGCCGGGCCTAATCATGATCATGCTGGATAATCGCGCGCACGCCTGTTTTAACACATTGCAGCAAAGCAATCATTTTAATGGAAGAAGATGTCGGCCTCACTGAAAAGAGTTAATGAAGAAAATAGACAGTTCAAAGTTGAATAAACAGATAAGTATGTGTTTATTTTGCCCTAAGCCAGCTCGAATCAGTAACATTCTTGCTGTGAGGCCATTGTGCTACCCACGGCGCCACTGTGCTGCATCTTATGGATGTTTATTAAAAACAAGTCATATAATATCAATTGTTTCATACCTTTGACCTTAATTAAAAAAAATGAGATTTGGACCTTTTAATGTAGACATTGAGAACCCTTGTTTCAGGCTATCATTAACAGATAGACCCAGATCATGAGCCTAGAAATCTACTCTGGACTATTTTTTCAGTCTGATTCCCACTGGGTTTTATTTTGCACCCAATTGCCCCTGCTATTTATTTACTCTTTGTTTATTTAAAACAAAATTCTTCTGACTGTTAATTCCCTGTTAAGACAGCGGTGAAGCCGAATGGTCTCTCTTTGCTGAACCTTTTATGTTCTGTGCAGATCTGGGTCAGTCGGCATAAATATATGGTTTAATTTTCCACGCTGGGGCTGATAATGAGTTCTCTGGAATTAATGTTAATAAAAATGCATTGTTGCCTTGGTAATGCAAGCATAATTTAAACAAGAAATGTGTGAGTCTTGTAAAATAATAAAAATTCGACATAATCCTTCTATTTTCATTTTAATTTGAAACAAGCTAACAAAAAAATACAAGTCATTGTGTAAAAATGTACCAAAAGTTTAAATTCTTTATTTAACAGTTTAATTGTTAATAGAAAAATATATTTGATTTATTATTATTATTATTGTTATTTTACATTTTTTTTACATAGGTGGCACCATTTCTCAATGCTTAGCACTGTTGCCGCACAGCAAGAAGGTCACTGGTTCAAGTCTTGACTGGGCCAGGAGTGTTTCTGTGTGAAGTTTGCATGTTCTCCATGTGTTGGTGTGGGTTTCCTCCGGGTGCTCCAGTTTCCCTCACAGTCCAAACACATGCGCTATAGGGGAATTTAATTTACCAAAATGGCCGTGGTGTGTGAGTGTGAATGAGAGTGAATGGGTTGTGGCTGGAAGGGCATCCGCTGCGTTAAACATATGCTGGACTAGTTGGCAGTTCGTTCCGCTGTGGCAACCCCTGATAAATAAGGGACTAAGCCAAAAGAAAAAATAATAAATGAGTTTTAAGACTGTCTGGATTCGGCCGGACTCAACTCGGACTCAGATGTTAAGGACTCGGACTTAAGTCCGACTCGACCCCTTTTGGACTCGAACTTGGACTCGACTGGTTAAGGACTTGGTCTCGACTTGGACTCGACAAAGGTGGACTCGACCCCAACTCTATTCATAACACAACACAGTCTAACAAAATAGTTTCAAAACAGAACATTACCTGTCTAACAGTAATACTTCAGCAATGGGGAGCTCGGCTGTCCTCCGGCTCCGACTGGGCATCTGCGAGCGGCCCGCAGCTCACTCGGAGCGCAAGCGTTTGTAATGCAGATGGGCACGCGGTAATGGAGGATCTGCGTGAACAGATGCGCAGAAGTCGGAATCTACATTTGTTGACAGACAGTCTGACCAGCTTATTGGATTTAAGGGAGATGACGGTCCGACTCTATTTAATTAGAGGAACAATTTTTAGTGTTATGCTTTACCCAGAATATAAAAATACATATAAACACATTTAGATCATTTATTGTAATCATTACTTTTGGACTGTGAAGAGACTTTCAACCAGCACAACAAAAAATCTTTCTGAAGACAATCACCCACTGCACCTTTAACCATATTTGACACAGGTCTCTAAATGATCTGCACAATCAACATGACCATCAAGACTTTGCAACTTCCTGCAGTTTATTGAGGTTTTTGTCTAGATTATTTAGTTAAGATAATGATTCAACAATTCTCTTACTCCTTCTTTACTGAATTGTATTTAAGTTTGTGTTTTTGATTTGGTTAAATTTTTTTAAGTACTGTAGATTTTCATCATTAAAATAAAATTTAGACTTCTCCTTGTTTATTGTCTGCCATCAGATATGATGTTGAAATACAGCGGCAGTGTTCCCGACCTGTTTACCGTTATATTGTGCTCTGTGGGTTCTTCAATTCAATCCAATTCAGCTTTATTTGTATAGCGCTTTTACAATGTAGATTGTGTCAAAGCAGCTTCACATAAATGGTCATAGTAACTGGAACAGTGTGGTTCAGGTTTTAGTGTTTAAGTTCAGTTCAGTTCAGTTTAGCTCAGTTCAGTGTGATTTAATCATTACTGAGAGTTCAATCACTGAAGAGCAAATTGATCGATGCGTAGCTCTACCAATCCTGAACCATGCGAGGCAGTGGCGACAGCGGAGAGGGAAAAAAAACTTCACCTGATGGGAGTGAAGAAAAAAAAACTTGAGGGAACCAGACTCAGTTGGGCACGACCATTTTAATTTCTCCGCTGGCCAAAAGTCTTGTGCAGAGCTTCATTCGCCGTGGTTAGTGTGTGTGTGTCTCTTCAGTATAGAGACACACACACACACAAACACGAACAAACTCAAAAGCAAACCATATTACTTGCATGAAACTTACAGGTATGCAAATTACAAAAAATAAAAATACATTACTGATACTCTGCTGGATGATTTGCTGGCATGTTGATTCTAATCGGGAGCAGTTTATTTCATTAAGTTAGTTTGTATTGTGTAGGATTTACCATGGCACTTGTTTTTCTGTTATTTTAAAATGCCACTTTATTTTCACTTTGTGCCACTCTTTCAATCTATGTGTTAGTGGGACAGTACGTGTGTGTTTCATACATCTTAGTGAATATTTGTTTGGGTTGGTTATATATTTGGGAAAAAAGAGAATATGATTACTTAATCGATGATAATGCTCCATTTAAATGGCACAGGATGGCATAAGCCTTAACTCTCAGCAGTTGTTTTCGATCCCCATTAGATCACTCTTAAAAAATAATCAGTCCAGTAGGTGGCGCTGAACAACAGCAGTATTAGTTCAAAGACACACTAATAAAGCAAGCTGTTTCCTTTAGATCTCCTTATTTCATTAACAGCTCTTTTCATCTTGCTGTATAAATGTTTGTAAATTCTTATTTTTAAGCCCATTGTCTTTGCAACTTTTTATTTTTATCCCCACTCTCTTGCTTGTTGTCAATAGCATTATCTTTATGTTTCAAGGCGCATGTTGGGCTGTTTGCTACTAATGTCCCACCAGCATGTACGTGCGCTTATAAACTCAGGATCAAAGCCTGAGTTTACAGAGAAAGATGATGATCAGCGTCATGGTACCAACAAAGCCTGATATTGAGTTTGTCAATGTGAAGCTAATCCTCTAATCCAGAGTTTGTTCGGGCACCTGTTCTCTGAGATAAAACACATTGACATGTTGATCTGTAAATGTTTATTTCCTCCTAGTCAAAACTCTGCACTGCTCTGTAAACTGTTTACTTGATCTAATGTCAACTTTTTTTCTCTTTTTTTTTTTTTTTATTTGCTGCTCTCACACATGAAGATTCCATTATTGTCGGATGGGTAGGAAAATCTGTCACACTAAAGTCTGATACTGAAATACAGAGAAACTATGAAATACTGTGGCTGATTGAAGACAGTCTAATTGCTAAATTGACCAGAGAAGCTAGAGAGATAACATATTACAGATTCAGAGACAGACTAGTGCTGGACGAGGAGACTGGATCTCTGACCATCAACAACATCACTGTTGAAGACAACAGAGATTATAAACTGAGGATCATCAGCAGCAGTGGAACCACTGTAAAGAAATTTGGTGTTCTTACCAAAGGTGAGTCATTTGTGCTTTTAAAAAACTGATTTACACTGAATTTTAAGAGTTAATATAGTGTGTTTACGTAATTGTCATTCATTTTGTGTTTTCTTTGCTCCAATCATGATTATAGTGAACTTGCAGTAATTGACCATGCAGATTAAAGGAATACAGTAGTTCACCCAAAAGAGTTTCTTCCTTCTGTTCAACACAATTGAAGATATTTTGGAGTAAGCTGGAATGCATTGACTTCCATATTTGTTTTTCCTACTATGAAAGTCAATGCTAACAGGATTTATTCAAATATTTTCTTTTGTGTTTAACAGAAGGAAGAAACTCATAAAGCTTTGGAACCACTTGAGGGAGAGTAAATAGAGAGTAAATGTTCATTTGTGTGTGAACTACCCCTTTAAGTAAGAATAAAGTATATCCAGGTGGTTGTTATCTGTTATCTATTGTGTTCTTATTCTCACATATGCAGAATATTTCTGCCTTATTGTGTCCAAAGATACTTTACTGAATTTCTAGTTATAATGTTTTTTCTGTCCTTTCTGTGACATGAAGGGGAGCCAATGTCATTCAATGAGGGAGATACAGCTGTTCTACAGTGTGCTGCAGAGATACAGACTGATGAGATTGAATGGAGGTTTAAAAGTGAGGAGTCTCCCATAGCTGAAGTGAAAGGTGGAAAGATCATTCTATATAATGGTCCTGATAGGAGATTCAGAGACGGACTGGAGGTTGATAAAAAGACTGGATCACTGATCATCAGTAACATCAGATGTGAGCATAAGGGCCTTTATCAACTAATGAAAAAGAGTTCCAGCACAGGAGACCATATCAGTGCATTCGATGTTATGGTCTATGGTGAGTATTATAAGGCCCAATCCCAACTCTATTTTTGTACCCTTACCTCTTCCCCCTGGCCCTTAAAAGTGAGTGTTAAGGGGAAGGGCTTCAAAATTTACTCCTAAGAATTGGGACATCACTACATCACCTGCACATGTCATCGCGATCTCTTGCTTCATATGAGATCAGATGATGGTGACTGCTGTAGTTATTCCAGTTGTGCTATTTTTTGGTATTTATCTTCAGGAAATCACTGAAGGCATGCATTATGTTATCATAATGATATAATGTGGCAATAAGATTGGAACTGCAGTGTATTTACACAGTGGCAATATTCATCTATGTAAACACACAAAAAACAACATTAACATTATAGCAGACACAGTTAAAAGCTCATTCCCGGCCACTAGACATTACTGACAGGGTTCAGCAATACTGCTGATGTGGCAGGTGTAATTTGGAAAATTTTCTTACCCCTTGGTTTTGAGTGTGGTCCTGAAAAATCTTCGTTCGAATGGCTATTTATTATTTCCATTGGCGACTCCTAGAGGCAGTTATGTTAATTTGCACACTACAAAGTATCGCACCAACACGTAAAAAACATTGCTATTCATTTATAATTGATAAAATGGGTTAATTGGCACATTTTTTACCAATTATGTGATTTAGAACAGTGTTTCTCAACTGGTGGGTCGCAACCCAAAAGTGGGTCGCGGAGTGTGTGATCAAAAAAAACAACAAAAGTTTAATATTGCTTATATCGGACTTTTATTTTGAAATGCACGTGTGCCAACCGTACGGGACTTTTAATTTGCCAGGAACCTGGGTTAAGCACTTTCGGCGAACTGTATGCAATGCAAAAAAACTGCGCGTTTAAGGTCTGTTTTCTTTAAAAATCAGCGATCTCCACTGGCTGAGTGATATCCATTATAAAGTGGGTTTCAGATTGTACAAGAAGCACTGCATTAGATTACATTTCCCCCCGCCATGTTTTTTTAATATGAGCATTTATTTTACCCCAGTATATTCAATGGAGCTTTTGCGCTAACGTTAGCCTGCCGATTCTGACGGGCGCGTGCGAGCAAACTGTTTTTTGTCTTGTTTTACGCTTGAGCAACTAAATGAATGCCAAAGTTTATTTAACTGAATGTATTTTAATGGCATTACAACATCAATGCTGTAAAAGGAACCGTATAAAATGGGGAAAAAGTTCATAAGGTCACCGGAAAGTTTATCTGTTTGGGAAAACACTAACGTTCGCTCCGCATATACCCCTTTGACATGTAAAATCCCAGCGCAGTTACGACCCCGAATATGTAAAGTGTGGATTTACATATTTTGACAACAAAAAAAGCTTAAAACCTCAGTGTGTCATATGTAGTGAGGTGCTTTCACAAGAGAGCATGAAACTTAAATTAAAACAACATTTAGAAACCAAACATCCCAGTTGCAAGGAAAAACCTGTGGACTATTTTCCAAGACGACTCCAAAAGCTGAGGGCATCACAAAAGTGGCGAACATCTTCATGTTCAAAACAAGTACAAGTACATCTTACTGTGCTCAACGTGTAGCAAAGACCAAGAAAGCCCACACAAAAGCAGAACAGCAAATAACTGGTGATTATTATAAAATGTTTATGATAATTTGAATAATTTTACTTCAGTTTGCTGGTTTCTGTTCAGTTCAGCCAGATCAGTGTTAATGTTTTATAAACAGTTGAGTTTAGTTAATGGTAACTTAACTTTTCCTTACCCTAACCACTGTTTACAGTATTTGACATTTTTACTCTGTAATATTTCTATAATTTGATACATTTTCTTCAATGACAGCAGTAAAATATTGTTTATTTGTAAGTCTTGGTGATTTACTTATAATTTATCTGTCACTAGTTGTGTATGTTAACAATTAAATACAAATGAATTATAATTTCTAAAATTATATTATAGTTCCTAAAAATTTGGGTCGCGGCTTGATGACCATGTGAAATGTGGGTCCCATGGCCAAACCAGTTGAGAACCCCTGATTTAGAACATATTATAGCCTTTGCAAATGTATACAATATTGTGGCAATGTGGCCTTGGTCAACCCATGATTAATTCATCCTCACAAACGCGTGATGGGTGGCTTCTTGGTGAGTGATGTATTTAAAGATAAAGTTTATTTTATTGAGCGTAATTATTGTCAGGAGACCGCAGTTATCCATTAAAGACGTGGCTGGCAACCTCCCTCAACAACCCATAAAACTAACCAAGAGCGCAGATACAATGATGCCCATTCTCTCGCTCGGTCAGTTGTAGAGCGGGCGATTGGGCAGCTGAAATGCCGGTGGCACTGCCTTGATAAGAGCTGAGGGGTGCTGCAATACCGCCCTAACAAAGTGTTCCTCTAACACAGGGGTGGGGAACCTTTTTTCTATCAAGGGCCATTTACATTTTTGTAACATCGTTTAGGGGCCAAACTAAATTATAGGGCTGCTCGATTATGGGAAAATCATAATCGCGATTATTTTGGTCATAATTGTAATCACGATTATTTAAAACGATTATCAGTTGAGGTCAAAATTATTCACCCTTTTGTAAATTTAGTTTTTTATATATATAAATATTTTCCAAATGATGTTTAACAGAGGAATTTTTCACAGTATTTCCTCTAATATTTTTTCTTGAGGAGAAAGTCTTATTTCTTTTATTTCAGCTAGAATAGAAGCAGTTTTTAATATTTTGAAACCCATTTTAAGGTCAATATTATTAGTCCCCCTAAGCAATATATATTGTTTGATCGTCTGCAGAAAAAACTACTGCTATACAATGACTTGCTTAATTACCCTAATTAAGCCTTTGAATGTCACTTTAAGCTAAATTCGAGTATCTTGAAAAATATCTAGTAATATCAAATATAAAATAAATCAGTTATTAGAAATGAGTTATTAAATCTGTTTTCTTTAAAAATGGGTTGAAAATAAATCTTTCCATTAAACAGAAATTGGGGGGAAAGGGTCGCTAATAATTCAGGAGGGCTAATAAATCTAATTTTAACTGTATATGCAGTTATTTTCCTCCCTGTAAATAAGTAAAAGGAATTAAATACAATAGAATAAAATATGAAACAAACTGTGCTTTAGGCATCTTCACTGTAAGAAAAAAACTTCAGCTACAAAAGTCCTTCAGTCAAGAGCAGTGAGGGATTTTCTCCTTTTGTTGTTTGATTAATAATAAAAACAGTCAGCAGCAGGGATATAGCGCACTGTTACTTTAAGAATAGTGCGGCTCTGATATGGTTTCTCTTTCACATGTCTTTTGATTCTCAACTTGTTTGTTTGTTAAATAAACTAGGGTTAATATGAATGTTCACTAAACACCGCGCTCTGACACAAATGTCCATGTATTTGACCATTAAAGCGCTCACATTAAGATGGCGTTAGATGTGTGTGCTCTGCTCGACTCCGAGGCTAAGCGCACACACACACAGAAGCATGCCATGCGGTCTTGTTCAAGCTATTAAAAATATGAATGATTCGAACGCAAGTCAATGAATGATGGGCATCCCGTGGTGCAAACGTTACATTACAGCACATGCTTTTAGTCATTTTCATGTGAAACTGACCTTTGCAGAGCAACAAATGTGTAACAGAATTTATTATTTTTGTTCCTGAGGGATGATTTTAAATTGACGGATGGGGCCGGATCAAATGGTCTCGCGGGCTGCATACGGCCCAGAGGCCGGATGTTCTCCACCCCTGCTCTAATAAAACTGTCTCCCACAGACATGGATACTACTCCAGACAGTAAAGTGTCGCTGTCAATTGTGGCAACTCTCTCCTCAGAGAGTGTTAGTTCAGCATCCCCTGTTCCTCTGCCTCTTCGTTCCACACTTTGACGGTGCAAAGCTGTTCTCCTCTTAACCTGCACCTTTACATCACACTATTTCTTTTTTAATCCACTCACAGTGCGATGTTCAGACCCCACTGCGTTAATGGCGTCAGCTAATCTCTCGCATTCTCTTTTTTTTTTTTCTTTTGTTATTAATTCCGGAGGACAAACTTACAAATAACACAGTTTGTTCATTGGTCCCATAGGAACACCTCCAATTTATTTTCTGTGAAGTTTCTCTTCTTGCTTGCTTGTGCCATTGCTTTTTCATTTGGCTTTTGCCAAAGTAGAGTCATTACCATATTTATTAGGGGGAGGAGTCAGGAAGGGGTTTGCGCTCGTGCCTGTTGCGCTCAGTTTCACGTTAATTCGGATGTACAAAGAGAATATGCGTGGGATTCCGCGTACGCAGTGTTTCATACATCTGAATTTTTTTTTACTGCGTATGCACATTTACAGCTTTGTCCATATGCAATGTTTTTGTATGAATTTAACGCAAGTGTTTGTACATGAGGCCCCTGGTCTTTCTAAAACTGATAAGCTTTTTTGTGTGTTACAAAATGAGTTCCATCGTATCTTCAACCTTAACCTTGTGCAGACTACTTAACCATATTTGACACAGGGCTCTAAATGATCTACACAATCAACATGACCATCAAGACTTTGCAACTTCCTGCAGTTTATTGAGGTTTTAGACTAGATTATTTAGTTAAGATACTGATATAATTCTCTTACATCTGCATGACTGAATTGTATTTAAGTTTGTGTTTTGATTTAGTTTAGTTTTTTTATAGTCATGTTGGTTCTCATCATTATAATACAATTTAGACTTTGGCACTAGCTGATAGTCAGAAGTTAATGTAAATGACTGAAACTGTGTTTAGAATTATTTAAATACTTTAATGACTCAAATTATTAAACTTTACATCGAGTTTCCATGTTTCTTCAGTGTTCATAAATAAAGTTCAATTCAGAGGAAAGAATAAGTGCATAAACAAAACTGATATTATCCAAAAGAATCAAAATATTGTCAACTGTGTGTTCTGCGAATGATCTTGGACACTTTATGTTTAATACAAATTTAATAGTAAGTTTTGTCATTATTTTTGCTTCTTTAGAAATGATTAAAACCTTTCAGATCTTCTCCTTTTAATATCCATCTCTGTTTCAGGTTCCACAGGAAACCAAGTGAAGGACTCAGTGACTGAAAAATCACCATTGTTGTATGAAGATGATCAGAATGTCGTGTATGAGAATGAGAGGATGAGTTCACTTTAATGAGAGAAGACACGCCCACCAATGCCAATCACTGTGACATCATCAACATTTAAAGGTGACATATAGTGCATTGTTTCAGTTAGTTGAATTATTTTGTATTATCTACAGGTAACAGTCTGTGTTTTGGCTGACAAACTTCTGGTGACTTAAAAACTTCAAACTGATTAAGAACTTTACCTAAAGTACATGCAAATGTTGAGAGCATGCTAACTAATAGTCCCGTGTGCAACTTAACAGTCTAATAGATTTTCAAGAGAACGAGGAAACAAGGAGGTTTGAGGCTCATGAGGTATGGCTGTTTCCATGTGCGCAGCAATTATTATTCAGTTATTCCTAGGTATAACCAGATTTTCATTATATAGCACTTTTAAAGCTCCAGCTACAACCACAAATCATGTTTCTGCTTTTCTGAGCTTCTAGAATCCGTCCAGTGAATGTAGGAAACAAAAGTGTGTTTGATCAGCGTTAAACTCTTGCGTGCACGTATGTGTATGTGTATGTGTGTGTGTGTGTGTGTGTGTGTGTGTGTGTGTGTGTGTGTATAAAAAGATTCTGTGTTTAGATGAAGATGGAAGTGTGTTGCTAAAACACTTGATATCATTTTATAAATGTTACTCATCATATCTGTTATTCTGTTAGTAGTTTAATTCTCAGAGCTTTGATTGAGTGTGATTGTAGACAGCGATCAGCTTTTATCATATGTTTTACCACAGCAGTGTTTCTCTAATCATTGCGTTAGATGTGTTTTAATTTTAATAATTAACACCAATATCAGGATAATGGCACTGTTTTTGGGTCTCGGGTATGAAACCCACATTTCAGAAACATCTTGACCATCAGTGCCAGACCTCTATTCAGTCTATTATTGTTACACGTTTATTGAAGAAGTTAATCAGCTGTAACTCTTATTTACAGTATTTTACTTTTCATTTAAACTTTATACTTTTCATTATTTACTATTATTGAGTCTATTATTTCACTCTCATTTTATTATGCTTTAAAATGTTGTTCTGAAGTGAATCTTCCTTATGTAAATCTGATCTGCGTGTCAAATTTAGTATATAAAGGACTTTGTATTTATGTTGAAGCACTTAAATTAGCCTTTAACTAAAGCTCTTGTTCAACTCGAGCACTTCCTGAAGTGACGTCGCACTGTTGTGAAATTGCCTTTGATTTATTGATGAATCTGTTGGTCATTTTTGACGACTGCATGTTCATAATGAATACATGTCAAATACTTACTGAAACTTTCTGTCCTCAAGTTTAGTGGACGAATATTGTTTCTAGTTTTGCTTTCTAACAACTGTTTTAAAACACAAAACACTTGAAAATGTATTCAATTGGTATTCGAGCCAAAAATAATAAAGAAAATTTGTGTGAAATTTGTGTTGGATTGTATTCATTTAGTTTTTCTACAATTTGTTTTCTACAACATGTTTTTTAGAGTAGAGTGAATCTGGGAAATGGGCATGAAGGGAAAAAGCTGCATAAACTTGAATAATATTGCGTAGTCCTATTCAAAATAATCCAAACTAATTTGAAGATGACATGAGACTACATCATTGGTAGTTCAATTATTCACTGAGTTTTGTTGTGAAATTGAACTAAATTATAATATGTTAATGATCAGTTGTGTTTCAATGATAAATCTTAAGACTCACTGCATTTATCTCCTGCCAAGAAAAGGTAAAGGTAAAAGAAAAATGTAAATGTAGAAATAAATGAATAAATCTATAGATGAAACAGTGGACATAAATCTAAAAATAAATAAAAGAAAAAATAAATGCTGGGAAAAAATAATAGATATAAATGTCAAAAATATTGTTTCTTTTTTACATTTATTTATTTACTTATTTTTATAATAGTTAAAAAACTAATAATTTATTTTATATCCCACGTTGGCAGACACATATCTGGCTCATAAAATGAACATAACATTCATTCATTCATTCATTTATTTTATTTTCGGCTTAGTCCCTTTATTAATCCGGGGTCGCCACAGCGGAATGAACTGTGTATCCAGCACGTTTTTACGCAGCCGATTCCCTTCCAGCCGCAACCCATCTCTGGAAAATATCCGCACACACTCGTTCACACTTACACACTATGGACAATTTAGCTTACCCAATTCACCTGTACCGCATGTCTTTGGACTGTGGGGGAAACCAGAGCACCCGGAGGAAACCCACACAAACGCAGGGAGAACATGCAAACTCCACACAGAAACGCCAACTGACCCAGCCGAAGCTCGAACCAGTGACCTTCTTGCTGTGAGGGGACAGCACTTCCTACTGCGCCACTGCGTCACTCTTGAACATGACACTTACAAAACCAATAATACACATTTAGTAAAATCCAGTTGTTATGATAAAGACAAAAAACAGGTTGTGAGGTTTTGTTTGTCAAGTTGTAATAAAAAAAGCTGTCTTTACATTTAATATATCATAGCTGAGCTAACTGCATTTATTGACAGTTGTTATAAGCTTGCAAAAAATCTCATTCTCATTCATTCATGTGTCACATCCTGATTATAAAGATTTATTGACCGTCTTATATGAACACCCACTTTCATTTAAGTGTTACTGCTATATTTAAATGTACCTTACACTGGGAAAAAAGGTATATGTGGTTTAAATACATTAAAAAAAAAATTTAAATAACATTTAAAGAAGAAAGTGCAGTTACTAAATCCACCAGCAGGAGCAAACAGACCATATTTGACAAAGTAGAGACAATGAATGCACATCATAAATCAAAATGCATATATTATTTATTAATAAGTATTATGTATAGATAAGCATTTTTAAAGTAGGTTATTATTGGGAAAAGAAGATTTTTTATTTTTATCTCTGGAATCACTGAGGATTTCAGTTTTCTTCAGTAATGCTGAAAAAAAAAATTTATCAGAGTTCGGTAAAGAAATTGAAGACTTTAAATACTGCAATAAAGTCTGATGATAAGATTAAACACACTACAGATCACTGAGCCATTGTGCCGCTTGACTCAAAACAGTGACAATAACATTCTGTTCTATAATATAATGACACTAAATTGTGGCTTTGTGTACCAATTTAAACCCATCAGAACAGGAGATTGTTCAAATAAACATTTTCAGAAATTAAGTTTGTTCAAATATCAATTTTAGTGCTGATGTAAATATAAACACACTGCTAAAATTAAACACATATACAGGTGAAGTCAGAAAAGTCAAAAAAAGTTAAAAAATTTTTTTTTTTTTTTTTTTTTTTATTTCCCAAATGATGTTTAACAGAGCAAGGAAATGTCCACAGTATGTCTGATAAAAAAATTTTCTTCTGGAGAAAGTTTTATTTGTTTTATTTCGGTTAGAATAAAATCTTTAAAATTTTTAAATTTGTTAACCCATTTTAAGCTCAAAATGATTAGCCCCTTTAAGCTATAAATTTTTCAATAGGCTACAGAACAAACCATCATTATACAACAGCTTGCCTAATTACCCTAACCTGCCTAGTTAACCTAATTAACCTAGTTAAGCCTTTAAATGTCTGTATAGAAGTGTTTTGAAAATGTCTAGTCAATGAAAAAAATAAACATGGGGGCTAATGATTCTGACTGTAACTGTATATACGCACTATGTACAGCTTATACAGAATTCAACAACACAGGCTCATTGTGAATGCATAACCCTGTATACATTTCTAAAGAGCTCGATTTTTGTAGCCAGAGGTAAGTATGGAAATTTCTACGCTGGCTAGTTATGCACAGGAAACCCTTCACTGAAGGAGAATTTATATAGGAGTGTCTGATGAGTGTTGCAACTGTAATTTGCCCAGAGAAGATTCAAGATTTTAAAAACGTAAGTCTTTCTAGAAACACAATTAAAATAATTCCACACACTCTCACACACACACACATATATATATATATATATATATATATATATATATATATATATATATATATATATATATATATATATATATATATATAAAAAAAATTAACTAATTAATCGCACTTCAAAAAAATTTAAATCGCGATTAATCGCATTTAAAAGACTGAAACTTGTCATTTTGGCTATTCGAGTGTAAAATTAATGTAAATGCAAGACAAATACTATTTAAATTCAAAATATAATTCATTATAAGAATTTTTGTTTACTTGTAACACAGATTTCCTCATGTATATAACATACCCACAATAAACCATCAAGATCCTGCTTGACAGCCATATTTATTACAGAAATAAAAACACAGGCATGTTTACGTCATTTGAGTTTCAAAACAATCAATGCCATTAAAGAAAACATTAATTTCCATATTGGATTCTAATTGGACTGCAAAAAATGCCAAAATACAAGCATTGCAGATATGGAAAATTATAATCCCATATAATTATAAAGCCATATATAGAAAATAACGAGGGTTGACAAATTAAAAAACTATTTTTTTTTTATTTATTATTAAAATAAAATTAAAATCCACACTGGAAATGTGTGTGCCTGTGTGTTTTGAGGGGGCCTAGAAAATAATGAGCATAACAAAAACTGCCTGCTGATGCACACAGTTAATGTTGATTAATAAAATAAAGATAAATAATAAAAGCAATATGTCAGAGACCCTTAAAAAAACATGTTTAACTCAACAATGAAACATCAAACGTAGCTAACAGCTTTTACATTGTCAATCAAATGAACTTGAACAATTAAAAAATGCAACAAATATTTGGGCAGAACTACAAAAATAAATGTAAATAAAGTTGCTTAAATTGCACACTAGTTTGGTCATGTATAAATATCATTATATTAACCATATTGTATAAATATTATTGTCACTATAAGCCTACATCATGCTGATGATCAAAAACACACCGTCATGATATCTCATGCGCTTGTCTTCTGACCGAGTGCATCTTAAAATACATGAATGACACTCTTCATAGAGCGTGAGAAGCGGACACACTTTATCAATTGTAAAATAAAGACTTGCAGGTTAAGGAAACAGCATTATAGGAGGAAGTTGTCGCGGCCGTGGTGCAGAATAAAAGTTAAAAAAAAAAAAAAAGTATAAGGACAGATAGGTAACTAGATAGAATAGACAGGAATATACCTCTATTGATCCGCGCGTGAGAAACATGCGTGACTCGGCTATTTTGACAAATACACAACTACGTTACACAGAGCCCAACATGGAAGATTGTGATTGGGTCAGCCCAATGTCAATAAAGAAAAGAACCAATGGGCTGCGGATTATGTCACCCGGCTCTGTCCGGAAAAGAAACATCTTACCTTCAGAGCGTGACAGCTCGGCAGGCACTTTTTTTCCAGGGGTTTCAGTACAGCGTAACCGCTACTACGTCATTGGGTGGGCGTGGTTTATCTGTGAATTTGCATAGGTCACGGATCATACGCAGATTGTGAAAACAGCCGTTTCATTCAGATCAGTCATTGATTCAGATACCTGTACGTATTGGCAGGGGTTTCGTGTCCAATGCCTTTTATATGCAGTACAAAATAGCTGTCCTGATCGAAGGTGTTTCATGTGAAGTCAGTGTATGTTATATTAAACAAATTAACTTAAGATACCTCTAGATTACATTAATACTGTTATAACTGAAGATACCTGTCCCGATCCCACGGCTTTTGTGTCAAATACTTTATATATCATATACAGTAGCATCAGATACCTGTCCTGATCTCAGGGGTTTCATGTATGATCACTTTTATATATATTAACATCAAATACCAGTCCTGATCTCAGGTGTTTCATGTATGATCACTTTTATATACATTAACATCAGATACCTGTCCTGATCCCAGGTGTTTTGTGTATGATGACTTTAAATAAAAATAGAAAATAAATATGAGTTATGTAAATTAACTAAGATCGAGAAAGAAAAATTAACCACGATTTATTACAGAAAATGTGGTATTTATTTGTTTAAACATGACTGAATACCATATTTTTAAACTACAAAAACGCGGTTAATCTTACCACAACCATTATTATTTGGTTTAAAATGGAAGTACAAAAGCCCAGAGACAGTAAAACGGAGTAAAACGAGGTCAGCTGTTTTTGCTAATGAAATCTTTAAAATATAACATTATAAAAACAAAAAAATAACCTGTATGATTGTTTTTTTCCTTCGTTATCCACCGTGGTAGGTTCTTTATCCATAATCATCCTGTTTGAAATGACCGCGCTAAAAAAGAACCTGTACTGCGCATGATCGGTGACCTCTCAGTATTGTTTTTTTTTTTTAAGGGGGCGTTTCCCAAACACCGACCAAGCCACGCCCATTTTACGTCGTGGTAATGAAACCCCTGGAATTTAGTGCATGCCGTGACAGCTCACACAGCAGCGTCAATCAATGAGGGAGAAAGACATGACAGTCTGCTGAGTGTTTT